ACAATGTACCATCAGCTATAGAGGAATACAAATCCCAGCAATACATTATAGAGCACCATGTGTGGAAAAGTGCAGGCTTAGCTGAGCAGTCTTCCAGCAACTTGCTTCTGAGATTGGACCTGTCTATTGGTGGCTGTCATCCCCCCACACCTGCTCCTCACTACATCTCCGCGCGTCCCTGTGCCGATCGTGGATGTGGGCGGGCAGTGAGTGTAAGGCGGGGAGGAGGTGCGGTGTGAAGAGCGTGGATGCGGGCGGGTCTGGCAGTGACGAGCGTGAGGTGATGAGGAGGTGCAGAGCACAGCGTGTGTGGAGCCGTGAACAGGGCCAACTGATCGTAAGCCGATTAATCGATTATTGAAAAAGTTGACAACTTTTTCAATAATCGATTATAATCGATTATGTCGATTAGTTGTTGCAGCCCTAATTGAAATAATGCATTTTACATGTGTTTTCTTCCTGCAGGCACATAGGAAATATGCTCATGTGACTTATAAAAATGCACTAATTAAAATGCATATTGTGTTTTCATTGCGATTTACATGCGTTGCCATGGACTATTTTTTACTATAACATTTTATCAAAAAGCACAAAAGATGCATCAAGCAGGATTTTTCATGACTGTATAAAAGACACTGGTGTGAAGAGCTTCATAAATTATAATAGTAACTAGTTTCCCTTTGCTTTTAGCATGCTGTGATTACTGTTGTAGCACACATAAAATGTGATGGTGCCCTAAGGCTCACTGTGTAATATTTAAAATGTCACTATTATGATTCCACTAACTACAGCATTGCTTCTGACAAAGACATAATGTCTAGGACTAGGTCATGGAGAGACAGAGCGTGGGTTGGTAGCCATGGCAGATAATGCAACTATAACCGAGCCCATTATCTCTGTATAATGACTTAGTAGACATGTTGGATAATACATGTGAATCTACTGCTCTGGCACCTCAACCAGGCTGCTTCACAAGTAGAATGTTCATGTTTAAAGAGTTTCATAGGCCTTAGTACAGGTCTCCTTCATACACACTACTTGGGATTTATATCGCGCCAACCGTTTACGCAGCGCTTTACAATATATGGAAGACATTACAATACAATTCAAGGCAAGATGGTAAGGAGGGCCCTGCCCCTGAGAGCTTACAATCTAAAAAAAAAAAAGACTGCCTAGCTGTCATAACCTGAAACAAATGGTCACCACAGATCAGTTTCAGAATACTGTTTGTGTGTTTGTTGCAGCTCAGTGATTTAGAAAGTAATGCCACAAAGAGCTAGGCAGCAAAAATGTCCAAAAAAGGGAGAATCAAGGGCCCATTTACACATTTCTGACAACATTCTAAAAATGCAGAAGGATGTCAGTCATTGATTTGAGTGGCCCCAGAACAACCATGCAGCAAGTTAAGACAGAACTTTACATCTGGTTTTTTTTATGCTGGGTCAGTGATATCAGAAAGTATTGAAGCCACGACATGCAGACAACTATAACTGTAAGGTGAGGTCAGCAATGACAGGCCTCCCTCAGTACTATTTTCTTTTATAACCATCAATTTATATTACCATTTCTTACCATTGTCAGTAAAAGAATTATGGGGAGAGTGAAATACAACACTGAAGCTGTCAGTGTTCCAGATCTTTTCCCTGCAGAAAGAGGTGACTGTTAGTCACCGCTTCCTGCAGGGATTCCCCCCTCCCCTCTCTCTATTCCTCCAGCACTGACTGGAAGGATAGACAGGGGAGGGGGCGGGCACAGCTGGCTCTGGCTCTAGAAAGGCAGAACCAGCTGTCAATCAGGCAGCGGGGTGGATCTTGACAATATTGCTATATGCTGACTTTTGGGTCACAGGAAGACATTAGTTTATGTCCTCCTGTGACCCTAAAGAGAACTACGGCAAAAAAAGGTTGGATCATAGTTCTCATTTAACATAATGGAATTTAATTTTTCTTTGAAAGCATCAACAAAGCTGCTCAGAACTTGCATGCTTTGCAATAGCTTGCTGCACACGCTGTACTACGGTAATAAAAGATGAAGCCCTTGTAAAGAAGGCCTTAAGATGATCCAGTCAACACCAAACCTCAGTCCACTCAGATTCTCACAAACAGCTGTTTGACTGACATCACCCATTTAACCTGACAGAATTAGAGCAGTTTTGCCAAGAAGGAGCCGCACAAATTACAGGATCCAGATGTCTAAGGCTAGCAGAGACTTAACCCAAAGGACTTGCTGCTCTAATTGCAACCAAAGGTGTCTCTTGGACCACAAGCTTGATTTGTGTCTGCTTAACATTTGTGTCTTTTGTGATATTTTACATCAATACTTGCTGTGTAAATCATGTGCTACAACTGAAACGATTTTTAATCCATGTTGTAACACTACATAATGTGGCACAACAGAAGGGGGATGAATACTTATGAAAGGCATTGTGTGGATGTGTGTGTGTATACTGTATAAATAGAGAGTGAGAGAGACAGACAGAAAGAGAAAGTTAAAAATGCTGTAAATGTCCCGAAAGGAAAAAAAAAAAAAAAAAGCACACTTCAACATACACTGGTATAGCCACTAGAAAATACAGTAATGGTCTGGTCATCATAGGCTTGTAGTCATGTGTTTAGCTTTGTACCGCAGTAAGGGCCAATGGGTCTTAGACCTAGTCTTAGACCATGGGTCTGCCTTCAAGAGATTGGACATTGGCCAAGCTGTAAGGACCACCCTGTATAACCTCTCCCACTCCCAGCAAGCCTCAGTCAGGGACTTCCTTCCCCAAGACAAGCTCCAGTCTGTCCGTTCCCACTTTTGGACCCTATGGTCCAGAAGCTCCCCAACTATAAACATTTCTATGAGGGATATGGTTCTAATGGTAGCCTCCCCTGAGGCAGTACCGTATGCCCAGTTTCACTTCAGATGTGTTAACTCAACATTCTCGCAGTGAGGGATAAGAAGACTCAGTCTCTGCATTTCATCATACACCTGACCAGCTAAACCAGGCTCATCCAGGTGTAGTGGATTTCCAATCCAGCGCTAGAATTAGGAAAATCCTTTCTCCCGATGGCCTGGGAGGTGCTCACAGTGGATGCTAGCTTGTTGGGCAGTGGGAGGAGACCTGGATACCCTCTCAGTGCAGGGGACTTAGCTATCGAAGGATGAATAACTAAATGTGCCGAGCTACAACAATGATCAGATATAAAGAGTAAAAATGTGGAATTCAGGGCGATTTGGTTGTCCCTTCAATGCTTGACCTCTCACCTGTAAGGCCCCTCTTCTCAAGGTGGTATCCTCCTTGCACCTTAACCAGGACATAATTCTTCCCTCCTTATGTGCTACTCCAAAACATTCCAGGGAATTTTCTCTCCACTGTCTGGATGTGGCGCACGCTGTGTGTATCTACCTCTCAACTACAGGTACCCTTAGACATTTGTATCCACTCTTTGTCATACCTGAGGGTCCCTGCCTCTCTCTCGTTCCACTATTTCCAAATGGATTAGAGAAATCATAAATCGAGCCTATATTCCAAAGGATGCGGATGAGGCGCATTCAACCAGATTAGTTACTGCTTTCTGGGCTTTTCCGCATCATGAATCTGTTTCCCGGATTTGCAAACCTGCCACATAGTCTTCTGTTCACTAGTCTGTTCATGTCTTTCAGGTTGATGTTCAGTCCTCATCTGATGCCAGTTTCAGTTGTGAGGTGCTTCCAGCTGCTCTCTGATTTCTGTTGAGCCCTTCTCTTGATCCGTTTGTTACTTGGGCGTGATGCATTTGTTTGCTGTGTTGCCCACCCCACAGTTGGGCTTACTTTTAGACATTTCATGGTCTAAGACTAAGTTCCTGTGTCCTAAAATGTATGATTAAGAAAACAGAATTTTTCACTAACCCTTGTAATTAGGGATGCACAGATACTTTTCAAGTACCAGTGCAGATACTTGGCATTTTCATGAGACCTACCAGGGTTGCAGCAGTTGCAGCTGGGACCTGGCTCTGGCACTCCACCACTGTCCTGAAATCATTAGTCTGTATTGTTTTAGAAAATCTGTCACATGACCATAAACAAAAATGAATCAGTACTTGTAAGTACTCGGCAAGTACCAGTACTCGTACTCGCAAAACTGGTATCTGTGCTTACCTTATTATTTATATTTATAAAAACAAAATCATTCATTAAAACAGAGATGTACAAATCCCAGCAGCTCCGTGTGCTCCTTACAAATGACAGCTGCCTCTGCCTGAATTTTTCTCTAGTGTAGTCTTGGAGCTCAAAAGTATCGGTACATGTACTCGTGCTTGTACCGAGTACTGTACTTGGTATCTGTGCAACCCTACTTGTAATACTTTTCTTGGAGTATATTACACGGCACAGGTCCCTCCCCCCTGTCTTCTTATGAACCACTCCTACTATTCCTTGCTAAAAAAAAACAAACTGAGGCTTTCTGGGAGTGGAAGGGGTTATACAGGGCTGTCCTTACAACTTTGCTTTACCAATGTCCAGTCACCTGAAGGCAGGACCCAAAAAGAGGTAGGGCCAGCAGTATGAGGTAGTATGGGCTATATTACATTGCAGTCAACCAAACACTGGGAACCTGCTTACAGGAGGAGAGAACACACAGATGACTTAATCAGTGCACAGTTACACTGTGGATTTGTCTCTAAACTAGAGATCCACTGATACCAATACTGAGTATTTGAGCGAGTTCTCGTACTTCCGATATCAGAAAGCCGGGCCGCAAGTAATTACACGCCACCCAGCTTCCTGATTGGCCGGAAAGGCGGCTCCATGCTCCCTCGTCACTTGGTTTCCTCCTTCTCCTCCTCAAGGGCACATAGTAGCCATTTTTTTTTTAAATCAGACTACTAATGCACCCTTTTTGTGGCCTGAACTACACCACAGTGGCAGGTACCAAGATGCCATTATTTGCTCCAGTAGGTCAACAGCCTGTGTCAATATTTTGCACAATTTGCATTATTTTTCCAAAAGAGGAATGTGAGGAAGAGGTTAGGGTGCTGGTGTCAAGGAGAAAGAGTGTTGGGGTGCTGGCAGTGAGGAGGAGGATGACATTTTTTTAGGTAGGCTTTAAGGGTGACATTTCACTCTTCTCTGATACAAATAGAAAGAGCTGATTTTCAAAGTCATCCTAACATTTGTAAAAATACGGGACTACCTTATTTGCGATCCCAATTTGATTCAATGGCCTATGTGATGCTTGGACAAGAATCAGACATTTAGAGCTGTCTTCTGATTGCTTGTTATCACACAGGCCATTGAATCAAATTGGATGATTCTTGTCCAAGCATCACATAGGCCATTGAATCAAATTGGGATCGCAAATAAGGTAGTCCCGTATTTTTACAAATGTTAGGATGACTTTGAAAATCAGCTCTTTCTATTTGTATCAGAGAAGAGTGAAATGTCACCCTTAAAGCCTACCTAAAAAAAATGTCATCCTCCTCCTCACTGCCAGCTTGTGTGATAGATCTAACCCTTCTGTTTTTAAAGAGGCCCTCCCTCAGTTTTTTTCCCCCTTTTCACCTAATGTGTAATGTTGTCCTCAATTCACATTCTCACCTGCCCAAGAATGGCAAAGGACAGATGGGGGCACAATTGCCATTTTTTGAGGAAGTGGACGAAATTTGCACAGTGTGTGCCGCTGTCGGCACCCTTTTGGTCGGAATCCCTTGATCAGCTGAAAAATGTCATACGATAGGAGCCAGCAGCCAATGGGCTGTCCTCCTTGCGTGGGAATACAATGAAAGCAGCGGGATTCCTCGATCGACACACACCTAAATGTTGATGGAGGAATCTGCTCTATTTTCTCGTTCAGCCCGTGGGTTGAACTAAAAAAATAGAGCAGTGTATGGGCACCCTTACTTTTATGGACTGCCATTGTTGAAGCAACGGCTGGCCTACAGGTAGGCGATTTGAGTGATGTCAGATTTCTCTCAACAGGACATTGATTTATAAACTACTTAGGCCCATATGATGCACTATAATGTTTGTTATGAAGGTGAACTAAGGTGAAGTAACACTTTAAGCTATACAGGACAGTTAGACAAACGGTAAGTCATTACCTTGTAGAAGATGAAGGTACATGTGAGGATACCTAAAGGTGCCCATGCCCATGTAGACTATCTGTGCTGGTAATTTGCCATGTGTATGTATTTATTATGTTCAGGAGTAAAGATTAGAAGTTCTAAAAATGTTATGTTTCTTTTTAAGTTAGATAAGTATGAAATATTTCATATTCAGCAGGTGAAGCCAACAGGTGGGCTTTTAACATACTTTTGTATGCTTCAAGCATGTTTTGCATTGCCAAACAAGTTTATGGGAATAATGCAAAACCCTCTTAAAACAGGTTAAATGCTGGTCAACTACAGGCCAAATGTGTCTCTCAATAACTTCTGAATGAGCTCTACTCAGCACACATGAGAATGAAGCCCCTCTTACCATGTCTCTACTTTATTTATACTGTTTGGCATATAAAATTAGAGTAAGACAGTCCAAAAGTAAGAAGCTACTGCTAGTCTTTCATATTGGAAAACTCATGATGCTCCAAATGGACAATATCAAGGAATCACCCTATATTACAAGTTGGTGGCTTGCATCTCTTATCAGCTTCTTTTAGGTTGATTTTTCACCCGTGCCTTGCAGTAGTATGTTAGTGGATGATATACCACACTTTGATTTGCATGCAGTGATGCACCACAAAAGATCACTAAAGTGTGCAGGGGCCCTTACTGTGGGGGACAAGATATTTTCTAAGTTTCTAGCTGCAGCTATTACACATTACATACTGGGACTTTCAATTAATTTTACAAAACAGATTATGCATCTTAAAATATTGACCCTTCCGTTGCAACAGTAGGACATATCCAAAAGAACTTGGAACTCCAGCAATGCCCTCTTTCCACTCATGTTCCTAAGATTTATAGAAAGCTGGTGGATAATTCAGCCCACCAGCATCCCACCACAGCTGAAAAATCACTAATGATCCTTTATATAAAAATTTAATGTGTTTCTAAATATGTAATTTTTGTTTTTAAGGGACGCTCAGGCATTGAATTATTATCTGCATGGATCTGGAGATCAATCTGTAAGTTTTATGCTGTGCATTAATTTTACATGCATTGGATGTGGCGTGTAAAATAATCTATGGGCTTTTTGCTAGTTTTAGGATTGCTCCCAAGAAATGCTAGGTACCAATGTAGAGTGCAGATGTTAACAAGTGACAGTGTGTGCTTTGCTATAATGTGAATCTTCAGAAGCATTTGCTGAGATATTTAAACATTTTTGAAAAATGTGTGTTCTGCTAAAGTTGGCCATATACTGTGTGAAATTCACACAGTGGGTGCCCCTGTCGGCAGCCTGGCTATCATCCTGATCGAATGGATTCAATTGTTTTGTGTAGCTGAGCTTAGGGAGTACAAAGGAGTGTTCTGACTCTCCTTTGACTTTACTTTCTGCATCACAAATATAATCCACCCTGGTAGGTACTAGATGGTTAAATTTGATGTGCCATGCCCCCTATTATATAAATATATATATATAGAGAGAGAGAGAGAGAAAATGTATGCAAATAGCTATGGAGTTTCTTAGAAAGGCACATCTCCCATTTTTTATAAATTCCGGTTTTATTAGGGCAATTTTTCAAATATATAAACATACAAACATACAAAAATAAGAAAACGGCAATACAACGATGACACAGGATGGAGTAGTGTATAACTTCATGAAATGAAGTGACTAAAATTAATATTTTTATTTTTATTAATAATTCCATTCACATTAAAATCCATAAAAAAACAGTGAACAAGTCCCATATCTTCCCCAGTCTACATTGATTGTGTTAATTTTAATACATGATTACATATAATTATTTGACCATAATTAGAAATAGCTAACTATAATCAACTATTTTACATATTATGCAGTCTTTCCAATGCGTTTCGCGAAGTGCTTCCTGAGGCGATACAAGGTAGATACAAGTAGATCTGGTTTCTGGGACAAGTCATAAACACGGTAGATAGAATAAAAATTATACCACAATCATCTATTTATAAAACAAATATTTTTAAATTGGTTGTACAATTAAACATCTTACTTACTGGGGTGATGTATATGACTAGTGAATGATGTGAACGAAGTTATTACTAAAAATGTAAATATGAATTTCATAGAAGTATATGTGTGAGGAGTACCTTTCTATGAAACCCCGTAGCTATTTGGATAAGTTTACTTTCTGAATGCTTGTTCTGTGCGTGTAAACCATAGTACTGATTTTAGAGACAGACAGACAACTAGCATTTTCAGGAGGAGGTCAACAGTGGCAGGCAAAACGTTTCTCTCTATGTAGTTGTACTTGAAGGAAGTCGGTTGTATTGAAATGTTTGCATACATTATTCTTGCATTTTAATGTTTGTATTTTACAGTTTTTTTCTTTAAATTAACTGTTCTTTGTTTTTCTTAACAGGTTGATGATGAATTAACAGATTTTTCAGCATCGAATTCAAACTCTATTTTTGCCAATGCTAGTGTAAGTATAAATGAGAGAAAACAGAAATTAGGATATATGCTTTGAGAACAGTGATCAACAACAACTAGGAGCCAAATTTAAATGGGAAATCTAGACTTATTTTGATTGTAAATACTCTACTGATGTGTGTTGGAAATGCTTGTGTAGCTAACTGACATTAAAAGGCCTTGGCGGGTTGTGGGGTAAATATGTAAATTGGGTGCCAGTCAATTTAAGATGTTTTAAAGATTTTATTCTTCATTGTTGCTCACTAGATAGAGAGGGGTGAGGTCTACAAATCCCCAGTACAGACTCCAGACTCCATATGCACTTTCCAGCTATTCATTGCAGATAGCCTTTAAGCCAAAACTGGTATCACTATATAGCAGAATCTCAGCTGGTTAGCAGATGTCTCCATTCCTCCTCCCAAGAGAGTTACCAGGCCCATGCAAGGATCCACCTTCTACCCGGCCTCAGCTTCCAGCAGAGTCTCTCACCCTGGCACTGCATCTTGGGTCAGATTCCCCCACTACCAGGCTGGACAGCTTCAGGCCTCACTCCAAGCCTCCATATCGGAGCAGATGCAAGCCTTCCAATGGCAGAAGAGATAGCTATACCAGTGTCAACCACACGTCTTCCCCAGGCAGGAGCCTGGGGGAAAGAGGCACTCACGAGGTCAACTCCAAATATTTATGTACTTCCCCAGCATGCACCACTGGCAATAAACCTCCTAGTGGTTGGTGGTTGGTCAGGGAGATATACATATTCATAACGAGCATTCTTTTACTCTATTGTCAGGGTCACACCCCAGCAGCAAGCAGAAGCAAACACACACTGGGCCTAGGGAATACCAAATGAGCACAGCACTATCAAATTATCTTAGGCTGTTTACAGCCCAGCAGAGATACATTTAAGGAGTCACCCTACTTAGAGCCCAGTTGGCCTTTTCCGAACTTCCAATCTCCTATCTCTACAACATAGACACTAATTATTCTTAAGTCACAGATAAGGTCTACAAGAGCTAATTTAGACTGCTTGAGATGAAACAAGAAGTGTATACAGGACAGCTCTGAATTTCTGACATGATCAACAGGTTTTTTTTTTCTACATATCAAACAGATATAACTAAAAACACATTGAATGATATCTTTACCAGACAAAAAGGGAGCGAATAAGAGAAGTTAATTACTAGGGGTTACATACACTTTAAGCAACCTCTCTCCTCTACAGTGTGATAATCTCTTTCCCTTTTGATGGCTTTTGTTGTCAATCTGTACCCTCAACGGAGTACACAGACTCTGGAATGATTGCACATCCAGGAAGTGAAGGCTCTGGGCCACCCCAGACAGACACACACAGAGTGAGCTCGGGGACACACACATACAATCGCGGCACACACACCCAGTTAACAGACAATTAGAGCAGACACACAAAGAACACACTAAGTCACAGCACACAGACAGACAACACACAGGGTACACACACACAGTCAGGGCAGATGCAGACAAACGGAGATGACTCAGTCACTGCACATAGAAAGACCACACATGATTCTCAAAAATAAGGAGGATCTTCTAGCGAAGTGTTTTGACATAAATCTGGCAGAATTTTTCTTTTGTACTATGGTTCTTAAAGTGGAAGAAAAAAAGCTACTTTTTTTAGTATGGCTGTTCCTATCAGGAATACTTTATATATATAAACGCAAGGCGGTCTATTTTATAAGCTGGACATTGAAGTGGGAGTGTATATTATGAGTTGTTGGTTGCTATGATCAGCAGATGCACTTTTCTTTCTAAAAAGTTTTATCTTAACAAGCAATGAGCAGATTTGTGTTCATTACGTAAATTTCTATAAGAACCCCGCAAAACACACCTCCATATGGATTGGAAATCCTTTAATTTTTTTTATTGCACCACATTTAACACTCCATATTCTTTTTCTTTCAGCTTGTTGATGCTAAATCGTTACACAGCCCAGAGGAAGAGGAATCCAAAGATGGAATGGAACTGTCTACTAATATGCAGTACTATGAAGATGAGCTTGAACCATCCCCTATGCAGGACCTCACTGAAGACATCCTACAAAAGTCACTGCAGGAGGCCAATATCACAGAACAGATATTGGCAGAAGAGGCTTACTTGGATGCCAGTATAGAATCTGGCCAGCAGTTTTCCAATGTTTCATTTCACCCTCATTCATCAGCATCGTTTTCTCAGGCCAACACTGACCCTAGTTACTCAGGCCAAACATTACATCCCATAGGTGTGACCCATGTGCCTATAGTTCCACAGCAGCTAGGTGGATCATTTGCGGGAAACACTGTAGGTGTGCAGCATGGTTTTATGCAACATGTTGGGATTATCCCTGGCCAGCAGATGCCAAATAGTGGCCATAGCAGTTCTGGGCAGATCCACGTAATTGGCTCCATTAATAGTCAATCCCCAGTAATGACTATAAATAATATTGATGGTTCCCAAATTATACTTAAAAGTGGCCAACAAGTACCTCCTAATGCTAGTGGTGGGCTTGTAATACAAAGGCAGACTCCGAATGGCAATGCTGTTTTCGGAAGTCCAAACACAAGTCCAGCAGGACAACCAGTTCCTTTTAGTAGTAGCAATTTCCAAGGATCTTTACCTGTTCATAATATTATTATTCACAGAGGACCAGCACCAAATTCTAACAAGGCTCCCATAAATATTCAGCCTAAGCCAATGCAAGTAGGACAGCAGGCGCATTACAACGTTAGTCATGCGGGTGTCCAACATCATCATGGGCATCAAGGTATCCCATTCGTCACAGCAGCCCAAAGTTCTCAGATGAGTCAACAAATGCCAGTAAACCAGCAACGTTCCCGTAAACCATCCAGTCAGCAGTCAGGTGGTGGTAACATTGTCATGCATTCTCCAGTTGGCCAACAACACTGTCATCCAAACCAATTTATCATTCCTGCTGGCCTTTCTCTGAACAATAATTCAATGCAGCAAATCCAGGCCATTAACTCCCAGCTTGTGCAGGCACAGTCATCCCATCTGGGTCCTCAACAGGTTCCTGCAGAACACATGTTGATGAGCAGAAACTCATCCGGTATGGTTAGGTCTAGTCAACAGTACCCAGGGCAAATGTTACATAGCCCAGGTACAGCTGTGCAGATTGTTCCTGGACAGTCATTTACAAGCTCTGGAGGTCAAGTCATTTTGAACCATGGACCATCTCAAAGTGTGGGAGGGCAGATGGCACAGCTGTCTCCTACACTTCTGCATTTGTCTCCTGGTCAAAGCACCACCGTTTTAGGCAGATCAGGCATCTCTACAGCACCATCTGGTTGCCCAAATATGTCATCTGCAAACCGCTTCACCATCGTAAGTTCTGGAGCCGGACTTCAGCGAACAGGATTTCCAAGAGGAGCGGAAAGTTACATAACAGAGCAGGAGCATAGCAGAGCACAAATTGCAATGAATGAGACTCATCATCAGTCCTCTAGTGCTAAAACCAGCAGCAGTTTAAATCCAGAAACAGCTTCTCAGCAGGCATTTTCCCTTAACCAGGTAAGGAGTAATGAAGCACTATTTTATCATTATCCTGAGATGTTTTTGGTTTAAAATACTTTAAAACGATCGTTAAAAAATATGTCTCCTGTTTGATTGGGATCCTTGCCTATAGTAAGATGGATTCTCCACCTTCCATAGCCCACTAACAAATAGCAGTGGAACCCGATTTTACTAATGTACTCCTGTGGCCCAATGTCAGCCGACGGCAGGCTCAGCTACAGTCGAGAATGATCCAGACAATGTTTTTGGGAACCATTTGGCTGCCTAATTGACAGCTGGCTCTGCCTCTCTGCGCTCAGTAGATACCAAGAGCTGACTGCTCAGCATTCACGTGATCAGTCAGCTCTCTGTCTTAAAAGCCAGCATGTGAAAGCTGCAGTGTCCCATGGTGGCTCTACGCATTGGGGAGAACTGGCAACCTTGCAAAATCCCTTGTCCTTTCTTACCGTTTATGAGCAGAAATTTTCCTGGTCCATAGCATATGAGGAAGAATGAACAAGGAATGAAAACTTGGAAAAAGAAATTCACATGTGTAATTTAAATGGCTGGAATTAAATCAATATAACGTAATAAACTGTACATGTCAATTTTTAATGTGTTTTTCTTGTAGACTCACAAAAAACTGGCCAATCCCCTCTCTCCAGTTTCATCGCTGAAAAACCAGGAGAGACAATCTCATGCGCACATTTCTTCACTGACAGGTACCTTTATGTGTATATGGTAATATCTTAATAGATATGACATCAGATAGCAGCAGATAGGGATTATTTACATTAAAAGTGAATGCCAGGCAAATATAAAATACGCAAATTAAAGCAAATTTGTATTTTTGATTAAATCATTAAATGTAGGTATGCGCATGGCAAAAAAATTAATTTTTGGACGAAACAAATTAAAATGAAAAACATTTTCATTTGTTGCGTCAAAGGAAGCAAATTTTGATGCTGATTCGGAGGCAACGAGCCTCCAAATCCGAAACCACACAATGAAACTGCAGAACGAGCAGCGGCCATATTGGCCGCCGGCACGTTCTGGGCATGCACACCGCCATCTTGGAGTGTATCTTGGTGTACACCAAGATGGCGGCGCCTGCATGTTCGGGCACCGCCATCTTGGTGTATACCAAGATATACTCCAAGATTGCGACGTGCATGCGCATAAAGCGCCGGCGGCCGATATGGCCAGCGCTCGTTCAGTGTGTGACGTCACCGTCATGTGAAGTCATACGCTCCGCCTCCAAGATGGCGAAGGGCATGCGCAGGACACGCCAGCGACCAATATGGCTGCTGCACGTTCTGAAAACAAATTTATGTATGCCTGAATATAGTTTTCGTATATTCAGGGATATAATAAATTTGTTATTTCGGATTCGGACGAACCGCCGAATCAACTGAATTTGCGTTGATTTGCAGGTTCATCTGAATCTGAATGCACATGTCTAAATACTTTAAATTTATTTTTTAAAGTGCAACTAGTGTTAGTCCTTGACTTAAACCGGGAAAGGGAGGGCGGTACTGGGAGCCAATTAGGTTCCCAGTATGCAGATGTGCTGATAAAGGGAAAGGAAGTGTGTGTGTATAGAGACAACCTCATCAGTCTTCTTCTCTTTCACTGTCTATTCAGAAGGCCGGTTTTGGAGAGAGGGCCCCCCGTATTCCTTAAAGCTACAGCCACATAAAATAAAAATCAGTATGACCTTATCCCTGCTCATAAGCAATATTTACCTTGTTTTATTTTCAATAAATGTTTTACATGCATTAATGCATTATTGCAATTACCTTAATTCTTGGTCTTGTAACAGCCGATAGAATGTGGGCGGGTGGTTCTGGCAGCGCTCACATCACATCTTCATGACCTGGATGTTGGTCTTGTGTCAGCCATTTGTGACCGCAGCTAAGAACTGCACAGACACCAGGATTTGAGCCAGCATCATAACCCAGGCAGTCAATGTTGACCATGGGTGATGTCTGGACAAAGATGGTGTTATCCTTTATAGAGAGACAAGCAGATTAATGCATTTTCAGGGGGAGTGCGGTGACCTCTGTCAGAGGTAATAGATACATAGAAGTGTTACACTTACATATTACTTAGCATGCATGCACCTAAAATCCAAAAGCATATCTGATTCCTGATATACAGTATCTGCCAATTCTCCTCAATATATGCATCTGCTGCAGCAAATGTAATGTCCGTTTTGCTGTACTGTGCTGTGTGGGCTGTGAGCTGCAGCACCGACCTGTGTTGACACTGCACACCTTTTTGTCCCAATGCCCCTCATGGGCAGTACTGAACTCTTCAGTACCTGGAGCCATTCATGTGCAAGACCCTTTAGCTTGACAGTGTTTCAATTACATTATATAATGTAAAATTAATTGATTGTAGATGTTGGTATTTAAAATATATACTTATCAACAACTGATCATAAGTTGTTGCAATGTTTGCTATGCAGATAACGGATGCCCTCACAGTTGTTTTTTACTGACATAGCCGTTATCTATACATGTCATAGAATGTATTAAGCATATGCCAATCTGTTACGATGGTTTTACATGTGTATCTGCTGTAAATGTTTGACAAATGTCAATAAATATCACATGCAAAAAAATATATATACTACCTCTGCAGTGTTCACAGTGCATGGGTCCTGCTTTCCACTATAGAGACGTAAATGTTATGAAATGACACCAAAGCTGCCAATTTCTCGATACTGATTTCAATGGAAGCATAAATGCACAATGTTAAAATGATTTCTGTATGTCTTCAAAATATTCTACAACACTGTGATCTAGCTTGACATGTATAGTCACTTGTGAATGATTTACCTTTTTATTTTATTTTTTTGCAGAGCCTAAACATATACAGCATAATTTATCACAGCTTCATAATGTTAAGGTATAATTTTAATTTGTGCATGTGGACTTTTTTTGTATGTTTTTTTAACATATTTTCCAAATATGTAAAGTAAAGCTGTCATAAACCTGGGCAATTCAGAGTGAGGATGCATAAACAGAGATTACCATTAGCGAAAACTACATATTAAAGTGATCAGTAGATCCAGACATACCTAAAGTTATACGGGAATCTCAGCTTCTCTTGTAAAATTTGGATTTTGCCCCTTCTCCCGAACCTAAGTTTAATGGGTGGCCTGATAGACCAAAAGAGAGGTTCAAGAGCTCACAACAAAAACATGTCAAAATATTTTATTAATAATAATGTTAATAATATTTTGGCAAAGGGTGAACACATGCTAAACCTGAGCAAACCTGATGTCTGACCAAAAGTACCCCAATGTGCTCTAAGATGGATTAACAAAAATCATACGATAATGTGTGTTCATATCTGACCTAGACATCATGTCCATTTATACCCTTGTATTATGTTCCTGGGACTAACTAAAAAACAATAGACCTAAGACAATACGATCGTAGAGTGGTGGTTGTCAGTACTGTAGGTTGATTATGTAAGTACCTTACAATAAAACTATTTTGTATAAAATCTCTTATATTTTTTCTATTGTTAGGTTGAAGGACATCACAGAGGGCTCAAGAGGATGACCACCAAACAACTCACGAAAGAAACTCTGTAGGTTTAAACATAATGGGGATATTTATCAATTCTGTTGCAGACCCAGGCAACGCTAAACAGAATTATTATGATTAGGCAGCTTAATTTATACATTTCCTTCGCAGCTGCTCTAAAAAAGCACTGCAACAGAATAAAACCCACCCCTGACCACTTCTCAATTGTGCATCTGTTTGTATGAAAATCTGTCTCATCCCCAGTGTTACATCTGACACAGACCTGTGCAAATCTGTCGCAGTTGACTGCCCAGGATTCCAGGTATAGGGGTCACAAATGTATATAAAACTGTCACATAGACCCTGCTAACTGACAAGCTGCCTGATTTGCATCTACATTTGTTGCTAATTTGCTTGATAAAATTCAGTTTGTGAGTTCGGTGGGCTTCAAATTGTTAAATCTAACTTGTATCCTTTATTCCTCTAGAATTCTCCAGCAGGTGCATAGAGACCAAGAACATGCTCTGGACCCCAATAAGAGCCCATTCCAGTCACTGGGTGATGCTGTCCAGAGGCTTCTCCCATACCATGTGTTTCAGGGATCAATGCCCGCCAATGACGAACTGCAAAAAGGTGAAACAGCATAATGTAGAAGAAGGCTTTCTGCTATAGATGCTGAAAAATTGTTACGCCAGTGCCCAATAGGATCAGTGAGGGTGTCACAGATGTTAAACCGTTAATTTTAATTCACCCTTCAAGTTTTTAGCTGGGTTGAATTCAAGGCTTTGTGCAGGCCAGTCAAATTCTCTGATGTCAGCAAATGGCTCTAGAAGGGCAGAAGCCTGTTGAACCGATTTGTAAAGGTGACATTCTATGATGGTGCTCTGTTACTAGCCAATGGGCTCTGCAGTACAAACCATTCTACATTCTGCTTTTCTGCAGAGATAGGAATGCTGATAATAAGGGTTGTCTGGATACTTTTGGCCATTTGGTGCACTGTAGTACAGGCAGCATGAAGCATTTAGTGCCTGGAATCCATGCCTTGCAGCTTTGTAGCCACTGTGTAGCACTTTGTAGACACTACACTAAATGAGTTGAACTCCCATCAGTGACACTGTATGCATTATGTGTGTTACTGTTGTGTTTGTGCAGGATTTCCTGGGAACTTTAGTTCCCTTCCCCCTAAAGAAAAAAGTGATTAGCTTCTTTCCAAATTGGTCCTAGTGTGTGTGTGTGTATGATTGTGTTAACATCAATAAAGCTTCTCTGTTGCTGGGTCTAGTAATTTTGGCCGACCATGTTGGCCCACAGGTGACTGACTCTATTGTGCTCCTAAGTCCTTCTGGTCCTGCTCAAGTTCCAGGTATCTAATGTCTGTAGATACCTTAAAGTGACGCTGTCACCATATTGAAAAACATGGACCATGGGCAGGCAAGTAGTAGAATAACAATACCTACCAGTATGACCGGGGTTGAGTCAAATCTTCCTTTTCTTTTGCTGTGGTTCCTCCGGACGGCCACTGTGTCTCTACTGTGTTTCCTATTGGCATAGCAGAAGAACAACAGCACATAACTGGGAACACGCTATCCAACACAAAAGGAAATGTCGGAGAGCAGCAGCATCGAAATCTCTTAAAGAAAAGGAAAATTTAACTTGCCACCTGCAGGATAGGTACATATATACAGTATCTTCTTCTGCCCACGGCTTATGGCTTTAAATGTGGCTACAGGGGCACTATAGAGAAGAACTTTATAAGAATGGAAATGCAGAGTAATGCTTTAAAGGGAATATAAAATGATTTTGTGTATAGCTAATAGTAGTTAATCATATTTAGCTGGACTGGTTTTGTAATGTTGAAGACGTTGAAAACTTTCACACCTCCCATCAAGTTCTTGGACAATCACAATTTGCCTTGACACATTTCATGACACAAGTGTGTCCCCATGCTGATTCATAGCACAGCTGACACAACGCAGAAAGCAAAAAAAAAACATTATAACACCAGATCTATTTTTTTTTTTGCTGGTTCAGGCCTGATTAGATGTGGCATGCTAAGTAGGAGGCATGGTTGGACTCTTCTACATCTACTTACCTGTTAAAGTCATGGGTATGATGATCTATTGTCTGCCACATACAATGCTGTATTAACACCTCTCTCTGGGCAGGTTAATAACACCTCCTAGACTCCAATTATGCAAATGCAATCAACACCTGGTTGCCACTAAAAGATTATGCGGATTGGAGCAACATTCACCATATTTATTCCAAGATATTTTTTTTGTACAAGTCATTCTGACTTGAGAAAACTGGTTGGATGACCAGTGAAACGTCTTCAAGAAAAATACAGCAAGTCCAGTTGCCTTGACTTATTTTTTACAGATATTCACAGAAAGTATTGTTGTTTTGCTGAAACTGTACTGGGTTTTTGTGTCCTGGCCAGCTCAGTGAAGTTCCCTTTAAAGGTGTTTTGTAACCAACATGTCATAACAGGAATATCTATTATTTTCATTATAATTAAAAGTGAAAAACATTTTATTGTTTCTTTCTAGTGGACAACGAATTTGAAGCTATGGCTACACATTTCTTAAAGAAGACCCAGGCAATGCTAAACAAATACCGTTTGCTGCTAATGGAAGATGCAAAAGTATGTAAAGTTATTGCAGATATAACCTTTACTAGACCACTTTATACAATAGAGTTAGAATGGGAGATTCCATTCAGATTCTTTTACACAGCCCAGAGGTTACATTTCAAAATTTAACAAGATTTGGGGGTCATGTTTCAACCCTTGTGAGCAACCTTCCATGTCCTCCACAACAGCCATTCTTTCCATCAGTTTTTCTATCATATAGGTTTTGTTAGATCATAAAGGCATTCATGTAGAAGTGAGTAGGTTGTTTCTTCTTTTATCACTATCTACTGTGTACCGATAACACCTCCACAACCACACACGGTTCCTTTTGTAAGGATTTATTTTTTTGTTTACAGTTTCTTATTCTTGTGTAATTAAATTTATAAATTTATAAATCATGCCCTCATATGTTACTGTGGGGGTTGTTCTGTACAATGTGGGTAATTGTAACATGGCTTTCTTAATAAAAAAATTACTATAAAAAAATAAACAGGCATTTGCATATGTAGGGTTATCAGCTGCTGAAAATCAGTGTTTGGTTCTTTCGATTTAAATAACCCTGTATTAAAAGGAAGAGGCCCTCAATCCTGCTTGGGGCTGGGCACTGAAGGTAATCCATTAAAATTCCCTCTGCCTCACTGAGTTTATTTCTCCATTGTGACATAGTAACTGGCATAGAAAATACATTGCTAGACCTAATAATGGGCATCTTATTGCTTACAGGCAGATCCCTGCAGGGGCGTAACTACGAATCATGGGGCCCCATAGCAGTATTTTTATGGCGTTCCCTGGTCAGCTCTCTCTTTAGTAGCTGTGACAGTACGCCTCATTGATCTTAACATTAATGGTGTCTATATCAAGGTGACAGCATAGTCAGTACACTACTAGAGAGCATTGCCTTGGATAAAATGTATAGTCGTATACCAATAATAATTATAATAACTATAATTATATCATGTGGCCTACAAGGTTTTAACTGGGCAGGTACTCTGGGATTTTTGACTGCATTAGGTATATAGGGTTAGTTTCAGTAGAAGGAGTTCAGAAGGCAATAAATCTACACTGCTAAGACAGTTACGCTAATGCCTTTTACTGAACAGAGGGAAACCTGTGACAAGATGATCCCAAGCTCTAAATCAGACCTTCTGTACTAGAAACTTTACATTTTAGTTTTCCTTAAAGGAGAACTATGGGATTAGGGCCTTTCCCCATAGTTCTCCCGGGGGTAACGAGAGGACACAAACTAGCGTCCTCCCGTCACACTAAGCTCAGTATACCGCAAGCTACAGCTCATCGTATACTAAGACGCTGCAGCTGAAACAGACTCAGATTATGAGGCTGAGTGAAAATCACTCACCTCATAGTTCTCCTTTAACAGCCTTCCTAATTGGGCCCCATTCCTAACCCAGGCCCTAGCTGCATGGGCTGTAATGGTAATTGTTACCACTGGATCCTTGTAACACATTGGGTTGATATTAGAATAAGCGGAACTTGATATCATGTTGGCTTACTGTAACCTCACTAACTATATAGAAACGTGATGTTCATTTTTGTTTTTACTTTAGCGCATTACCCCCTCTGCAGAAATGGTGATGTTGGACAGAATATTTAACCAGGAAGAAAGAGCCACTCTAACACGTGATAAACGAACAGCACTAGTTGATCCTGGTGAGTGTTAACAGTAACAGCACACAGTACAATATTCTACCAATCCAATGGATTTCAGCACAGAAATGTGGTCTGTTTAAGTGGAACTTAACCCATCCTGGTACCATGCGCACCGAGAATGAGCTGTGCTTGTGCAGGAATAGAATATCTCCTCACCAACAAAAAAAATCTCCCTGCTCAAAAGATTTCAAATCATGGCTATAGTTCAACTTTAAATATACTGTTGGAAGTATTTTGTTATATCTGTTCATTAAAGAGAGGTGTCCTGTGTACTCTCATGTTCCTGTGTTATCTCAATGAGTCCGCCCAGTACTCCTTTTGCACTACAGAACAATTAGTCCCTATGCTGTGGAGATGAGAAAATGGGAGCCCATTCACACCAGAGCGGTTGCGGATCAGCACGGTTACCGCGCTGATCTCAAAAGGGAGGTTTTGGGAGTTTTTAATTGCGTTTAAGCGCGGAAACACAATTAAAAATTCCCACAACCGCGCTGATAAGCAAGGTTCCATTGAAACCTGTATGGAAACCGCACTGATCAGCGCGGCAAAAATAGTGCGGGGAGCGTTCGGGCGGTTCGTATCGCGCGGACCAGCGCGGTCGCACGAACGGTCCCCATACCAATGTATGGGATCGTTCATGTCGGCGGATCCGTGCGGCCGTACCGCCCCGGTGTGAATGGGGTCTAATTTAAGAACTGACAACTGGGAAGAGCAGATGCCAATTGTTGCAGTTTCAGTCAACAAAATAGCATGTGGTGTCATTGCACAAGAGCAGATTAGGAGCTGAATGCATCAACAGGTATTTCTGTTCATGCACGTGATAAAATACTGTATGTGTACATGTGCATTTATTGCAGAGGCCTACTGCATATATAGCCTGACATACACTTTTTGAGGATTAGGGTCAAGTAATTTGTTATTTTAGTGGGTTTTCCCTGCGAGAGCAATCCTAAGGACCCCTTTAAATAAATGTGAGCTTCTTTACTACGGCAGGGTAAAGAGTATGGATAATTGATATAAACTGAATACAAGAAGCTAAGAGTATTCTGATGTTCCAACTTTTTTCTGCTGGTGAGAAACAAAGGTGTCCTTTTTTTTTTTGCAGATGGGTACCTTACAGAATTCTGCTGCTCTAGCAAATTTCATGAAGATCCTTCTGAAGAAGAACAGCTTAGCAATCATGGCCTGGAGGCAGAGTCAACCAGTGGTGATTCCTCTCCAACGGACAGTAATAAGGATGATCAGACAGGTTCAAGCTCACCTAAGATTCCAGACCCCCCTTGTTTAGTGCCTACAGACAGTTTAACAGAACCTAAATGTAAAGATTCTCCCGAAGACCTTAAAAAAGATGCAAATTTTTCCCCTACGAAACAACTCATTGTGAACCTTTGCAAACTAAAGGGTAAGTACACCTCTTGTCCTTCAGATACCTACCCGTCATGTAAAGCCTCAAAAGAAAGAGTTCCTGCATACTCCGCTCCAAACCCCATTCCTGTTTCTGGATCAAAAACGGACCCCGACGACGCAGAAAGCCCCCAGTGCAAAACCGCAGGACACTCTCTAGAAACTACAGGCAAGCAAACAAACATTGTGGTAAACAGCAAAAGCATAATGAGTAGCAAGACTGTGAAGGAAACGGTCAGAAACGTTCTAGAACTTAAACTTAGCGCAAAGCACTTGAAAAGCGAGGTCTCTGGTAGCAGTTCCACGGAAACGGAACTTATAAAATGCTCCGAAGACCATGCTTTGGAAAAGCCAGTTTCACATACTAGAGATGGGGCAGCAGAAACTGATTCAGTTTTAGAAGCAGCTGTAAATAGTATTTTAGATTGCTAAACAATCTCCAGAACATTGCGTAGGACGCATATGATGCAAATGGAAGAAGAGCAATAGTGAAATAACTCACAGAAGATGTGAGCAGATGGAAACATAAACATCAGCTTAAGATGGCTTTCGCACTTGATGGGTTCAAGAAAGCCTGCCATAGACAATCAGGAATGATCTGTACAAGCAGGTCATTTTGTGAATTCATAGATGGTAACATGTTTTCAAATTTTCTTTTTTTTTTAATGTAGGTTTCATTAAAGATGCAGTCTTGCCACCAACACATAACATTATGTTTTAAGCACTGCAGCTAAAAAAAAAAAAAAAAACATTGCTGGGGCTCAGTTTTCTAGCCACCCTACTATGTCTGTGGCATTTGTTTATTTGCTGGGACCACAAAGTACAGATGATGGAAGCTTTGCATGGCCCTGGGAATTAAACAAATCCTGTGTACCTTTGCTGATAGACTATACTAGGCTTTCAGATCACACAAGCAACCTCAGACCACTTAGTGACACAGATAAAAATTGTTCAAGCAATTCAGCCTTGGAGGGCAATATTTACATTAGGCCTTATTTTTGTGTCTGACGGAAGAACTCTTCTATTTGCCTCTAGCAGCCAGTCAAATTCTTCCCAATGTAGTATGAGAACCTAAAAGGGAGAATGTGATTGGCTGGTAGAGGCAATGACAACAGTTCTCACCTCCGATACTTCGTGTTGTTGCACTACCTGTTATGAGAGACTGCAGCTTTACTGAAATACAATGTACAAATGAGACAATTCCATGTACCACTCAACTGTTTAGGTTTGGAACTAACCAGCTTCTATGTACCATTAAATGTGTTTAATTTGCTAGCAATGTCGACGTTGAACTTGAACGTTTTACAAGGTTATTCAGTAAAGCTGTGCAAAGGGCAATGAGGATCATTTATAGCGACCAATTAGAAATAATAACCTAACAGAATAGATCACAGCAAACTGAAATCTGATTGGTTGCTCTGTGTAACTGCTCTGTGCACACGGTCATTACTCTTTGCACTTTCTTTTTGAATAAGTTGTGTAATGCTGTGAAAATGAGAATGAGAATCAGCAACTAGCAATACATGAGAAGAGTCATTAGTGGCAATGTAAACATTGCTGCTGTAGTCAGTAATGGAAGAGTACAGCTACTTGTTCTAGGTTTAGACAATGATGGGATTTTTCACTATCTTTTCCAGATCTTCATGATGATCCACAACATTTCATGTCAGCAAAATATGCCACCTGTAGTACAGGTGGGCCCAGTGGTGTATTTTGGTTTTGTGCTGCCCTAGGCAAGACTAAACTCGGGCACCCTCCCAATCTAAATTTGCCCCACCCCTTCCTGTTTAAGACATTTTGCGTAAACCTGTCAGTCACTGCATATAGCACGCACGCTGTATCCAGCTTCTGATGGGTTGCGATATTAGCGCAGCGCGGAAGCCCGCTGCACATTTTGCTTATCCTGTCAGAAGCAGGATACAGCGAGCACCTGTTTAAATAGTAACAGGCGTGCGCTGTATCACTTCTGCCAGCATCGGGGAGCTGAGCTGGATTCGGGTAAGGATAATTTATTTTCTTTTTTTTTGTCTTAATGGCAGGTGAGGCTCTGCCATCCAAGGCAAATCCCTAGTTTGCCTTGCGGTAGATATACCTCTGGGTGGGTCCATTTCTGATACCAGTCACCCAACAAAATAAACATTAAAATGTCAGTCAACCTAGAAATATTAGTCTTACCCGAATCACCAATTACCTTCTTCTGTGTTTTGTGGATTCCAGCAAAGAGATTTTGACCTTCCCAACTCCAACCATCTGCCACAACTTTTTTAAAGCATTATTCCTGACCTTACTGGATGTTTTATGTTGCATCATAGAAAAAGTGACAGGTGGAGTTGACGTTTAGTGATGGCAGAGTTGGATACTTTGGAAGGATCTTGCTGTCAGACATCTAAGACGATAATGGGTGATTCTTCTTTGTCCATAAATGAAACGCCGGTTTATTTTGACTGACCATTTAAATACGCAGGTCACAGTATAGTACTCTAAATTTAGTGATCCGTGTACATATGTAAGAGAACCCTCCATAACTTCTCCTTGCAGTTTTTTGGATGGGATTTGGTGATTTAAAAAGGAACTCCACTATTCCGATGATTTTGATAGTGTAAATCAGATAGCACTGTGACGGCATTTATTACCTACAGTACATTGTTCTTTTAGTACAAATGATGGAAGAATGGGAAAAGTTCAATATGTATTTGTTGCCCTGGGGACTAGAGTAAAGCAGTGCCTATGCAATGCTAGGATGGGCACAGTTTGAATACATCCTGGACACATGGATATTGTAATACTCCAGGGCTACTTTAAGACACAGTCTTATCAGAAAGCTAAAGGGAAATGTGCAGCACTGAATAAGTATTTATTAAGTTTCTTGAGTATAGCAAAAACAAGTTTGTACTATAATACTGAGCTACAGTATGTCCAAGATTTACAAAAGGTGTAAAGTCACCTTTTGTAATATGATGACCCCCTGACCTCTGTAGATGCCCCCTTGCTCTGGGAAGAATTCATTTTCCAAAAGTGGATGATCATTTTTGTTCTTCAAAGATATTTTTAGTGCTTCAGGTGTCCACTCATTGTGTAAACATGGATACACAGCTGAAGCCCTCCTGCATGTCTATATCATAGGCCATTATACTGATCAGTCTACGCCTTTGGCTAGCCTAAATCATTAATATGTTTTTTCTTTGTGTTTATTGAAAGTTAACTTGGCATCATCAGCGTGAAAGTGGAACACAATTTTTTAAATGAAGGTGTCTTTTTAAGATGCCATGGGAGATGATATGTGAACTATATGTCACCTAGCAGAGTCCATGAGACAAATGTGCTTCTGGGCACCCTTTTCTAGTTGCCCAGGGGCAAATACCCTTTTTTTTTACTTTATTAAAATAGCCTTGTGATAGTCTATGCAGATATGTCAAAAGAAGATGGGCAATGAATGGCTTGCCACACAGTATCAATTTGTCGGAATGATGGAGTTGAGCTTAAAGTAGACCTGTCATCAGACTTAAACTAAAAACCTAATCTTGCACATGAAAAAAAGACCTCATCCAGTTACCAATTGGTTGTAATGCCTTTTCAGTTCTCTGCTGTAGGGTGTTCTGTCAGCCCCAAAATTGGGGGCCCCAGAATTACTTCAGGAGCTTACTGGTTAAGGAACCAAAGGAGCTGTAAAACACCCTTCCCCAGCACATCCCACAGTACACTATGGGGTGTTTCTCTATAGAGTGCCCCACAGAGCCCTGGAGGCATGTCTCCGGGTGGGTATAGCTTTGCTTTAATAGATTGTAAAAGCATTGAGTGCTTGTGACTTAAAGTGAATCACAAAACTGCCACCCAACCTATCTACACAAGCTTCCTTTCACTGCCCTGCCAATCAAGTCACACCTTGCTGCTTACACAGAACTGAGGACTCTCTTACCTCCCCCATGTGACAGCACTGAGCAGCCAATCACTAAACACCAACGAGGTTACATGGGTGAAAGGACAGTGAGTCAGTATAGCTTTGCCTGGCATGGGCATACCACAGGATCACTTTAAGTCTGTATTTTAAAGAGCCACTAAACATAACTTCAAAGTTGATTTAAGTAAAAGATGTTTTACTAAGATTTATTAATGAATATGCAAAAGTCTCAGCATATGTTTGAAACACAAGATTTTTAAAACAAAGTGGGTACAGCCTGGAGTGACACACTATTGACTATTTATTTCACTTTTTGCTGTCACTTGCCTATAATGTTTGATATTAATGAGTGTTATTAGCAGCTTTTTTTTACTGTGGTTAACTTTTATTTGTTTAGTGGTCCTTTTTTATGCCATTGTAGGATCCCGTTGACCCATTCTCTATTCCTTGACATCTTACTGCTTAGCCCATATTCAGTGGGTGCCCAATTAGGATTCACATTCATTTAAATGTTGCAAGGGTGCCTTGCAATTCAGTTTGAAGAAAGCAGAGGCCAGTAACGGCTTTCCTGTGTACGTCTTTCTTCAACATGAACCTGTCACTTTTGTGCAGTTCAGGCCAAGCGTGTGATGAACAAAATGCATAAATGTGAAAACAATCAGTAGATCCACAGATTTAGACAGTCGAAGGTGTTTCCTGTGTAGCTGCATTTGGCCTTGGCAAATTCCAAAACTACCTATTGGTGAATGAAGTTGCCCATCATTAGGCTAATTGACCGGGAGTCTATTGCGGTAGGAAGGGGCGGGGCCAAGATAGACTTTTACATTGATATGCGGTTTCAATAAAGGTAACCTCTGCTTATGCATTTTGTATCACATGCTTGTTTTGTGTTACTCAGGCCATGGGACAGATTTACTTTAAGCCAAGACATATGCAGCCAAGGGCTGTGTTTTGTTTCATAGGATTATTTAGCTCTATTATATGAAAAGTCAGATTACACATTTCTAGTAGAAATCAAATGTCTAGCAGGCAAACACAGTGATATAACCCTGCAGGTAGTCATATTTACTCAAATGTATTAAGTAGGTAAAATACAGGGAGGGGAATTTATCAAAACTGGAGCAGACAAAATCTGGAGCAGCTGTGCATGGCAACCAATCAACTTCTCTCTTCAGCTTGTTCAGTTAAGATTGAAAAATGAATGAGAGAAGCTGATTGGTTGCCATGCACAGCTGCTCCAGATTTTGTGTGCTCCAGTTTTGATACATTCCACTCGGGATGTTTTGAAAACCCTTCTAGCAAATAAAAATCATATAGTGTTTATAAAATACCACATTACACCCCAAGTAACAGCCTTTCTGAACTCATACCTGTAAACAGACTTAAATCTTTGCAACACACTAACCTTATAAATAACTAAAGGGCCATCTCTTCTTTTTGCCCACAGTATCCAGTCAGATTCCCCCTTTCATTCTCCCATACTGCACTGGGATAATAAGGTGCAACTGGAGCCATGGTCCTGAGCAAGTACCCAATGAACATTTTTCATTTGCTCGGTAAATGAAAGATAAAGCTTAATTGGTGGGTAAGACCAACTGTTCCATTTCTGCTACAGGTTCCATGGTTCTAGTTTTTATTAGACATGTAAACTTCATTCATTCTGAATGCAAATTCGGCCGAACTTTCGTGAATTCGGACATTCAGATGCATCCGAACATCTAAATTCCAATGGGGCCAAATGCAAATGAATCCAAATGTTCTTTTAACAAAATCT